GATACACACACACACACACGTACACGCACATACATGCTCGCATTTGTTGTCTGGTAATCATTACGTCTAACAAGCAGATATCAGTTTTCATTTGCATACATTCATTACAGTTATAACAAATGAAATGTGAATGTGGACGAATGTCAATAAACGTGCAGTACTCATTTATTTTGTTGGTCCTTTTAATTAAATTCCACCGATCAATACTCATCCAATTATCAAATGATGCTGACAATCAGTAGATTATTTAATTTACACAGAGGCGCTGCTCGACTTTTAATTAAAAGCATTGTTAATGCTACTCGAATGTATTTCATTTTATTTAATCTTCATTTTGCAGGTGGCGATTTGAAATTTCACATTTACAATATGGGCGGCGATCCGGGATTTGAGCTGGAGCGTGCTCGTTTCTATGCTGCCGAGGTGGCCTGTGGACTGATGCATCTACACAAGCAGGGCATTGTCTACAGAGATTGCAAGCCGGAGAACATACTGCTGGATGACCATGGGCACGTCCGAATCTCCGATCTGGGCCTGGCTGTGGAGATACCCGAGGGCGAAATGGTGCGAGGACGAGTCGGCACAGTGGGTGAGTAGCACATGGCATATGAAACAACAACCCGAAAAATAAAAATCTATGCACCTGCTAGGCTACATGGCGCCGGAGGTTATAGACAATGAGAAGTACGCTTTCTCGCCTGATTGGTTCAGCTTTGGCTGCCTGCTGTACGAAATGATCGAGGGTCAGGCGCCGTTTCGCATGCGCAAGGAGAAGGTCAAGCGCGAGGAGGTGGACAGGCGTGTCAAGGTGCGTTCGCAGTTGTAAAGCACAGCAAATCTGTTTACTTTAATTGCCTATTCTATTAACCGCAGGAGGATGCCGAGAAGTATTCGAGCAAGTTTAATGATGAAGCCAAATCAATGTGCCAACAGCTGTTAGCTAAATCGATAAAGCAACGCTTGGGCTGCCGCAATGGGCGTCTCGGCGCCCAGGATGTGATGGCGCATCCGTTTTTCCACTCCACACAGCTGAACTGGCGACGTTTAGAGGCGGGTATGCTGAAGCCGCCCTTTGAGCCAGACGTAAGCAATGCCTAAAACTGAATCAATAACTCGCCCGCTAACAATTAATTTCTCAACGACAGCCGCATGCCGTTTACGCCAAAGATGTGCTCGATATTGAACAGTTCTCAACTGTGAAGGGTGTCAATATCGACGAATCCGATACAAATTTTTATACGAAATTCAATACGGGCTCTGTATCCATTTCATGGCAAAATGAAATGATGGAAACCGAATGCTTTCGCGAGCTGAACGTTTTTGGTCCCGACGAGAGCCCCACGCCCGATTTGTTGATAAATGCCGTACCGGAACCGGACAAGGCTGGCTGTTTTCCGTTCAGGCGCAAGGTATTAGTCAAAATCATCTATCAACTGTATCAAAGCTGACAATTCTCTTTGATTTACTTTGCTTGCAGAAAAAGCAGCCGGCTCGCACACAGCCCATACCCATTCCTGAGCACCTGCTTACCACTTGTCACAGCGTGTCATCCACAACGGTCGAGAGCTGATAGCATACAATAGCTAAAGCCCAAACGCCTAACGTACCCACATAGCACAAACTGTAACCCATACGCACATAGTTAGCATCCAATCCCAACCCCAGTTTGGGGCGAAGCGTACAAAGCGCAGCACAACTGAAACTCATTGCAATACACGAACAACAACAACAAGAATGACGAGGGCGAGAAGCGTTTTTAAAATTCTTTATATATATACATATATATATACTTATATATATGAATGTATTTTTTACATTAATTTTCTAATGGAAACACTGAATTGAAGAAAAAAAATGCAAGCAAATTTCTCTAAACTACATATAAATACACAAATATGTTTATAAATGATGTCAAAAAAGAAAAGACTTACACGAACACAACATAAATACACTGAGAGCAACGCACGTTAGGTGGTTACTTAAATGATTGTAGCATACCATACACCATAAAAGTACCATACCGTACTTAGGTATTATACGAGTAGGTTTATATGGTAATTTAACAGCTAAAAGGCGAATACTAAAGCGACAAGTAAAACAACAACAGAAATAATAATAATAATAATTAAAAGCCGCAATCCAAATTGGCCGTCAGTTTGTCATAGCACCTAAAGTAATGTTACTTAAAATAGATACAATTGTATGCTATTTAAATATGTATACAGCAACTACTTATAATTAATAATACATACATACACATACACACTCTTACACATTTCTATATATGTAGATGGCAATCTCGGGGCGATGCCATAGGAAAGAATGTAATATTTGTAAAGTAGTTTTTGTGCTCAACGTGTTTTTGCTAATGTGGACGGGAGCAGCGTCGGGCGGAGGGTCGGACGATTGGACGGGCGGAGGGCTTATGCGTCAAGTGTTTTAGTTAGCATTTTAAAGGCCGTTAAGCAAATGACATAAATACTCGAAAAACTTTAGTGCATTTTTATTGAAATACTTAACATACATACGTACATACAACTACATATATATGGCATATATAAATCTATACAAAAATCTATGTAAATGTATACACATGAATATATCAATTGCCGCACACTTTTCCTACGCTTTTCAATGCTCTTCAATCTATTCTGTTGCCTAAGTTTAAGTTGACTGCAATTTGTTCATTAAGATTTTGAGAACGTGATTACTGATATTTTTTTTATTGTTTTGTCATGCAATAATTTTGCATACATACTAATATATGTATGTTATGTATGTACATATATTTACATACTGCAAATGATGCCAGCTTATTTCTAATTGAGACGTCGGCTAGTGTTTAAGAGTTCCGTGTATAAATGTGTAGTGTAGGCATTTTTGTAATTAGCAACAAAAACAAATATAAAAACACAAACAATTTGAGAATTTATTATGTTACTCATTAAATGCAAATCATTCAAAATTGCAGCTACTCATTTAGCAAACAACGGGAATGCGACTGCAATTGCGAACGCCACGTGCAACATTTAGTTACAATTCAATTGATTTTTTTGGCACAACTAGCTTATTGTAGGGTATACAATGGCAGCAAGCAGCAAGTAAGTTACATACATACATATTACAATAAAAAGCACAGCCCAAAACAAAAACCACAAAAAGAACAAAAAAAAATTAAATAAAATAAACGCCACAAGCTCGAAAAAAAAACGCATAATTGAATTTTAGCACAAAAGAAACAAAGCAAGCGCCGAAATATTTATCTATAGTAATTAAAGGCATATTTATAGATCATAATAAATACCAGATATACAAACATAGAAACTACTGTGTAAGAGCAATTAAATGCAAAACAAAAATAAAACAAACATTCAACAAACAAAAAACAACAATAAACGTATTTAACTACAACAACTGAGAATTGTCATTTTATTTATTAGTTCGACAAAAGATAGTTCTTTGCAAATTGGTTAAACTATCACGAAATTGGTGGTGAAAATCTATGAACGGTAATACTGATAACTAGCTAGTATTACCCGGCTGAGCAAAGGTTTCCTGTACTAGTAAATGGAGTCGCATTTTTGAATATAAAAGTTTGCCAGAAATCGCCAGCTTCACGAGTGCAAATAACATGCATAGAAAAATATGAATGACTTGATTTATTATTGACTTTTTTATGCTACATATATTCCGAATCAAATTTATTTTATAAAATTGTAATTAAATTAATAACGGCTTTCGTTTGCAATTGGTGACCCTTGTGCTTATTACTTCGCCCGTATAATACAGATCGCACTCGGCGCCATTGTTCTCGAAAGACCTTTCGCCCAGCATATACTCGGGATTTAGGGCTACACGCAGTATATATCTATTGTTAACGGGCACAGTGGTAACATCCACCCACTGGCAATCTAGCACATGGCTATACACATCCGCGCAGCCAGCACTGATACCTATCAATGGCTCAGCATTAGGGATGGACAGGACATTGCTGTGATAAACAAGAAAGAAATCGTGAACTTACCTTGAGTGGTATTGCCACAGGTGTATTTCCTGCGTACGCCCACATTGCACTGGGAGTCCATCAGGCAGAAGGACGCCTTGTGACCCTGGGCCACCTTTTGGTAGCGCTGATTGTACACGTCGAATGTGGCGAAGATATTCATGCTGTGGTAGTGCATATGGCACTGATGCCATTCCCAGTCCTTGTAGTTGGCATAGGGACTAACGTCGGCATTGCCCACATTGGAGGCCTTGACCGAGAAGCGCAGCAACTTGCGGATTCCACTGGGATTTGTTCTGCGTACAACATACGCATCCTTCGACACACAGTTTTCCTCCATGGCGCAGGTCAGCTCTGTCATGGGCACATTTGCCAAGTACGCGCTTACTTCAATGTCCACCAGACCAAGCTCCAGATCCGGTGATTTGCTCACACAGGCCACAGTACTCACATTACGATTAGTGGCATGGCATACAGAGGGATATATCGACTCCCGATGGCATTCCGATAGTTTGAGCTCCGTGCCGCGACAAAGGGTGCCCACCATGCCCCAGGGATGTGTTCTGCTGTTGCCGTGCTTTGTGCTGGGCATGGCCATGGAGGCATAGCCCAGACCCAACTGCCGACACACAACATTACCCTCGCGCTTTGTCCATTTTGTGCTGCAAATGGTGCCCCAGGTAACGCCATTGTCAAAGCTCACCTCCACACGGCCCTCACGCAGCGGCTGGCTCGCAGTAGCATTTGTACTGGCCAGGCGCACCCTCATATTGCGAAAATTGTTGTTCACATTCAGCTGGCAGCTGCATAGACTCAAGCTGACCAGCAGCAGCAGCGGCACGGGCAGAGATCGCGTATGTAACTCCATTCTCTCCTGGTTAGAGTCTAGTGTGGCTCTCGCGACTGGCACTCAGCTTTAAAGCATGGGCCAACAATGACGAAAATGATGGAAACAAAAAAAAATAAAACAAAAAGCATCTGGACAAACTCTGAAGCCTTATTGTGTAAAGATAATGTGCATTGTATTTTCGTTCAGCGCCGATTTACATATACAAAAGCCAGTTGGCTGGTCGCCCATATGTTTGTGGTTCCGTGTGTGTTTCTGTGTGGTGCTCTTTGCAACTGGAGTGCATTCGTTCAACGCAAATATTAACAACAACAGCAGCAACAAATTGTGCGGCTGTTATAAATCAAGCAGCTTGGTAATCTCCGCCTTGAGCGCTGACGGCTTAAAGACTCCATGCTCAGTGATGATGCCAGTTACAAGTGAGGCGGGCGTTACATCGAAGGCGGGATTCCAGCAATTGATGCCCGGCGCCGCAATGCGATGCTCGCCCACGTGTGTCATTTCGCGATCGGGTCGCACCTCGATTATAATGTGATCACCGCTGGGTATCTGCAGATCGATGGAGGTCAACGGTGCGGCCACATAGAAGGGCACGCCATGATGCTTGGCCACAACGGCTATTTGGTAGGTGCCAATTTTATTGGCCGTATCACCATTGGCAGCCACCTGGTTGAAGGGAGAGTGATATCGATTAAGTTGCCAAGCTCAGCAGACAGCACAAGAATTTGTTACCCGATCGGCGCCGACGACTACAGCAGCTACATTCTTCACACGCAGCAGCGCCGCTACCATGCTGTCCAGCACCAGGGTGGCGGGTAGCTTTTCGTGCACCAGCTCGTAGGCGGTTAGGCGTGCACCCTGGTTGTACGGCCGTGTCTCCGTGCAGTAAACGTGCTCTGTGAGGGAAAAGATGGACACTAATCAGCTGCTCGGTCATTTTGCTTTTCGCTTTTACCCAGCTTGCCCAGTTCGCTGAGGTGCCGCACTACGCCCAGCGCTGTGCCGTAACCTGCTGTGGCTAGGGATCCCGTGTTGCAGTGCGTCAGCACACGCACAGGACCAGCTGCGGCCGCACTAGTCGTATCTGCTACATGCCCAAGTATGGCCTTGGCGCCATTGGCGCCAATCGCGCGATTGTCGGCAATGTCTTTTTCCAGCATGGCCTCGGTGGCGTTCAGGAATCTTGAATAACATTGGAATAATGGCTGCGCGTTGTCTTTTGATGTTGCCTTTGCGATGTGTGTTTTACCTTTGCTTCATGTCTTCCACCGTCACGTTATCATCCTTGGTCAGCTCATTGGCCAGCGTGATTAGCTCGTCGGCGGAAATTTTCATGTTGACCGCTGTGGGCCGTGCGGAGACTAAATAGTTTAGCTTGCCCTCAATTTCCTGACGCAGCGATTTCTTGCTGCCAAACTCCTCCGGATAGATTTCGACGGCCAGCGAGAGGCAGCCCACAATGGCAATGGCCGGAGCGCCCCGTACCTATAAAGGGAGTTAACAAACCAGAGATATATACAATTAATGAGTGGGTGCAAGTCTAGGGCCTGTATCAGTATCATCTGCTGCTGTGTCAACGCTCTTATCTGGCCATAAACTCTTTATAGCCACATTATATAATGGGTCGCCCGCAGTCCACGTGATGAGCCGCATGCGTGCTCTTTGCACAAGCAGCAGTAAACAACTAGGAAATTATCTCTCGCTCTCGCAGATTCTATTTGTTTAACCAAAAAATAAATAATGAAGAAGGCGAACCCAGAGCTTGGTTACATATTTAGTCGTGGTAATAACTAGAGGGCACACCACTTAAATGAGCAAACCACAAACAATTTCGTTTTGAGCAAGATGCAATTAATTTTGATGATGATGTGTTTGCACACGTTTTGATGCTTGGCAAGCAATTTACAAGATTTATTTAATTTATTTATCTATAGAAAAATTAAATGACGTTATTTATAGAGCGTCAAACGGCGATTGGTACATGATTTAAGAATTGAACAAGACAGGAATTTATATAGGTTTACGGATTGGTCTATCTATAGGATTATTCTTGCTTACCTGCATCTTATTGATGACCTTCCAGCCGTCCTCAACACCGCGCACGGTTACATACTTGGAGACGACGGGCAGCAGCAGCTGATCAAGTATCTCCAGGCTGCCACGCTGATATTTGATCGATTGTAGGCTCATCCTATACAATTTGTACTATGCGACTAACTGTAAGAGAAATGTAAAGGCGAATTATTAAGAAAGATCTTGCGTTTTGAGGCCCAAAAACTGACCAAACTAGTGGGCGGCGGCAGCTATTCAGCTGGCGTCAGAGCTCCAACATTTATGTCAGAATTTATGGCTAGAGAATGTATGTGTGTGTGTGTAAGTGTAAGCGTATTTATCAATTGATCAATATTAATCAAATGAAATGCCAACGCCAATGCCAGGACAGTCGAAAATTGCTGGGGCAGATGCAGACAACGTCTGACAGGCGAACGCTTCCCTTAGCTACTGAACGATTGCGATGCGAATGGACCGCGACCAATTCGCAAACAGTTTGGCAAAAAGAGAGAGCAGCGCAATTAGCCAGAGACACGGGCAGGCGAAAAGTGAGTGAGAGTGAGAGTGAGAGAGTGTGATTGGGAGTGCTGGGACTGTGCTAGTTTAGAGTCTAGACTGTATAGCGCGTCGCGATGGCTAAGCGATTAATTCAACTTGTCACAACTTGCGTATCCGTTGCAAATTGATAAAGGCGTTGTCAACGTTGACGGCGACGGCGGCGCTGACGCTGGCGTTGACTTTAACGCCGGCGTTGCTTCAGCCGTCAGCACGTTGTCGAGCTTTTGATATTTTTGTTTTTATATGACAGGCAACAGCAAATCGGACAGCGACGCTTATCTTCGAACTGTATGTGCATATATATGTATATACATATTTGCTATTCAAATGCCTTGATAATCTCAGAGAAGCGTAATTTATGCGGCCGCAATTAGTTGTGCCCGCTGTAAGTGTCAACCAAGAACTTGGCGCTGGTTCGGTGCCAAATTTGTGTTTAACAAAATTATGCACACACAAACACAAACACACGCACAAGCACAGGTAAATATTAGCGGCATTCAACTGGTGGTTCCGGCAATGACAGTGACGGCGGTAGTTTTGAATCTTGACATCTGTTTAGTCCACCATATTAAACGTGTAGAATCTATTATACACTTGCCTTATTTAAAGAATTTTTAATTTAAATTCAAACACTTATTTCACTTTACCGTCGAAAAAAAAATTGTAAACAGAAAAGGTAAACAAAGCAAAGGCAGGGTAGCAGACTGTATGACCATGTTTTTTTTGAAAGTGTGACCAGTTATCCAAGGCATGTTAAGTTGTCGATAGAAAACATCTGATAAGCGGCAGCTCGATAAGTGCCTCTTTTATTTGACGAGACAACAATATTTGGGTAAAATGTTATGAAACACGCCGGCTTTCTTTATACTCACTGTTTTGTTTACGTATCCAAGTCTTATGGTTTTTTCATTAATAGTTTTTGGTAATGCTGGAACTTTGCTTCGAATATTTTTAAATTCGCTTTGGTTTTAACTTTGGCAGCAAATCGGTCGGTTTGGATCCTAATCGTTAGTTATAGCTATAAATTAAAGTTTAGTGCGTTTTTTGGCGTTTATTGAGTCCAAATATTAAGGCACAAAACTAGTGCTTTTAAAAAAATCACAGCGCTTAATAGAAATAATATTTTTACACGTAACATTAAGTTAACAGAGCGCGTTTTTTAGCATTCATATTAACAGTGGCATCGATATCGATGATTTCCAGTGCATACAAGCAGCACAGCGAAGTACTGACAACTGTCGTCAGAGGGCGTTTGCTTTGCGGGAACTTTCAAATGATTACAGAAATTCTTTGAAAACCAAAATTGTATAGATTTATTTTAGAAAGAAAATGGCCAAAAGTGTAGGACAATCCCTTTACCGTTTGCAGCCAAATAAAACGTTATTTATGTTATGCGACATTCAAGAAAAGTTCAAACCAGCAATTCCGTTGCTTGGGGCGGTTATAGAGAATACTAAGAAATTGGTAAGTTGTTTAGCATTGCATTTAATTGAAAAGTGAACAAGATGATATTCTAGATAGAAGCTGGTAAGGTATTCAATGTACCACTATTGGTTACAGAGCAATATCCGGAAAAGTTGGGCTCTACCGTTTGCGAGCTGGATGTGCAACACGCTTGTGCTATCGTGCCTAAGACCAAGTTCAGCATGTTTGTGCCGCCAGTTGAAAATAAGATAAAAGAAATTTTTGGCGACAAGCCCAAGACGGCAGTGTTGTTTGGAGTTGAGGCTAGTTTCAATACATGACCATAATCTACGTTTGCTAACAATTTCCAATTCTCCTATAGACGCATGTGTGCATAGAACAAACGGCGTTTGACCTTATCAATAATAGTATAGATGTTTGGCTTGTCGCTGACTGCAGTGCCTCGCGTCTCAATCAGGATCGCGATTTAGCCCTAGAGCGTCTGCGTCACATAGGCTGTATTATAGCCAGCGCCGAGAGTATCATCTTTAATCTGCTGGGCGACAAGGACCACGAGTCCTTCAAGAAGATAGCGCCCCTTGTGAAGAAAGTGTCAACCGAATTGAATCTTTGGCAACCCACAGCGACTGCCAAGGGCAAGAACTGATATTGGCAAGCGGCGCCTTTCATGTCTATTCATTTACCATTAAGGTAGCATTTTTGTGTTGCTCATAGAAATTATGAAAGAAGGTACCAGAGATAGGGCCCCGCCTGTCCTCGGCAAGCATCGTCATCTCATAAACATTTTGCCCAGCGGACAGCTGAATGGAGCGTTACCTCAGCGGCGCCTTATAAGCCAGCCAAGTATCCAGTGAGCGAGCCAAGAGCAGCCTGTATTGACGCCAAGCCTCTTTGCTGCCAATTTATGCGAAGACTTGGAGCGCCCCTTGTACGAGTATTCCAGGCAGTTAAATTTCATGATGCAATCGAAACAATCTCAGCATGTTGTTTGCCTACGCGCTCGAGGCAACCGCCAGGTGACGGTGACAATGTAGCAGGCGTCTGATTGACTCATAACAGGCCAAGATCACAATCTTATCTGCATGCCAGCTAGCCAGCCAGCCAGCCACATTGCTCCCGGCTCTGTTGGCAATTTATTTGCCAAAGCCCTGCCAGCTGAGTGCCAGCTAGATCGGATCTTAAAGCACTCGCAAGTGAAACTGATGGCGACGGCATCGTGGCACGCGATATGCAAACAGCATTGCCAACATCTGGCCAATTATGCACCAGCTCGCTTATCTAATCCCAACCAAACATTAAGCCTCAGCTAAGCCTCCAACGCAACGTGTGAAGAACTGCGTAAACGCCAAGCTGGGACAACGGTATCATGCGTAAAAGTTGACCAGCTTTGGCATGGCCAGCTGCCAGCTGATTGCAGGCTGCAGCCTGTTGCCAGTTGCTAACACAACCAGCGGCCATAAATTTCCGGCCCGAGGCTTGGGACCGGTTCGAAGGCCCGATGCGCACTTGGCATATTAATAAATTTTGGCTTTGCAAAGCGATAAAAATGATAAATCTGTGAAATTGCCATACCATGTGCAAATGAACAGGCGATCAGATCAGGGAGCTCCAGCTGGAGCTCATCGCTGCTGCTGCCAGGGAATTTATGTGCTTGCTGCCTGGCAAGTGGCAACTGCAACTGCAAATGCGCTCCAAAATCGAATTCTATAAAAATTTAAGGACGAGCTTGCCGATGTATTTATACACTCAATTTATATGAGCTTAAATTTTCGAGCTTGGAACTCGCAATTTTAAAAACCCAAGCAAAACAAAAATTAGAGTTATAGTTTATGGTCAAAATCCTGCTTATTTTAGCTTTTGTCAGTACACAAAATTAATGAATTGTGATACAAGAAAATTTTTTTAAAATAACAGAATTGTATTTAAGTATAAAAAAAGTTATGATCTAAAGTTCGAATCAATATATAGAGGGCGAGGCAATGTTCAAACCAGATTGAAGTCATGATAGTATTCTCGTAAAAGTACTAAATAAAAATTATTATTATAATAATGAATACTAGTAAAATGCAATTATAAGAATAATAAAAGCGATAGAAAGAAATGAGATGATATTTTTTTCTAAATTTAGTTAATTTTTATTTTAATCCCAGAAGCGAATTCAATACTCTAAGTAGTGCCTTATACGATCTAAGTACTCAGCAATATAAAAGTAACTATAGTACCTTTTATCTAGCCAAAATATTCACCGCCAAAATGTGTCCAAAGCGTGTTGACAAATGTGAGAATCTCAGGCGGCGCTTCAAAGACCCGTTGACTACACGGCAGTGCTTAAGTTGCATAATTTATGGGGATGTTGCTGGATGTTGCCCAAATTAGCCAAATATAGCCCCAAGGGCCGCCTGTGTAATAAGATAATGGCAACAACTATGACTAATGAGAGATTAGGCGAGATGGGGATCACTTGCATTTCCCACACTGGGCAAACGGGGCCGGCAGGCAGTCAGGCAGTCAGGCAGTTAGGAAGCCAAAGCTCTGCAGTCATTTACTTATTTAGTCATTCACATGCAGCAATTAGTTCAATAATTTTATGCTAATTATGCGCTTGAAACGTTGGTTCTTAAGCACCGCCTGTAAGTCGAGCATGGGCGTGGCCATTTTTGTGTCTAGCGGTCATAGGGAATTTTCACTGGCACTCTAAATAAGTAATTTCCGCGTCACCTGTTAACCCAGTAAAATGGAAGCAGCGGCCCGACCATTGACCAGCAATTAGTGGGATGCCCAGAGAGATGTGTATCCCATGTACAGTGGATACTAGTTACGAGTAACATCTAATTAGCATATGAGTTATACGCAGCATTCAAAAGGGGCTCGCTACATGTTGCCCCATGGCATTTGGGGCGTTCTTTGGGTGTGTGAATGTTTGTATACGAGTGTGTGCAAGTATTATAATTAAGTTAGAGAAACAGCTATGGGCCACGCTAAGTGGTCGGTAACAAGCAATATACTTAAAAATATAAGTACAGCTAGCTGATTAGCAAGGATATGGTAATTCCAATGAAATGCAGCCAAAATAAATAAGATGACCTCAAGACCAGTTCTAGGACTGCTTGTGCTGCTCTTCAAATTGAATGCTCAAGTGAGGATAAGAATCTGCATCTTGGCAACTGCCAGCGATAGAGATCTGTGCTATTCGTTTTGGACAATCGCCCGAAACTAGATCAGTTTGGATACGATATGCTGTTTACACGAAAGCTTTAAATGTTTTCACTGCAATCCTATCTTCACTTTTATCAAAGACGACAATAACAATAGCCACAGCTACAACAACACTTTGTGAAAGGTTGCTTGTCCATGGACATACACACAAATTTGTATATGTATTTACATATGTAACTAATTTGCTTAAAATTGTATTTTGGTTGCGACAAGTTGCCGTAAATGCGTCGACTCGCTGGCATAAAAAAAAAAAAATCAAGCAAAACGAAAATAAACCAGAAAAAAGTTAGAAAGATTTACAAATTTATGCTGAAAATTCGCTGCTGTAGCATTTATATGGGCAATTGGCCAAAATGTTGGCCAACTTCAACACATTTGCGTGCTTTATCTCTGTCGCAGACGTCTCCTTTGCGGTCTTGGCCTTTGTTGGACACATCAAAGTGACTTGAGTCCCATTTGACTTGCAGTTTATGCAGTTACAGTTGCCAAATTTGGTCAATTTCACTTGTTCAGCTCGAAATTTATGCCGTCTTGGGTATACCATGACTTGAGTGCCGGGTTGGGGGTGGCGTGCGGTGAGGGGTTGGCGCCTAGCTACGCAAATTAAATATGCATCATGCATTGCTACGTTTACTTTCTACGTTGATTTGCATATTAACAGGAGATATCCAACTGGCAGCCACTGCCAAAATATTTAAAATTTAATATTAATATTTGTTGGACATTTTTTCTATACCCTGTATGTAAAGTAGAAAGAGTAGAAATGTGACAGGTTGACTTTATAACGTGTACAACACACATATTGATATCTTCTATATACTATAATATTCAATACGGCCTTGGCGTTGATATTAGGAATTTCAGAAACTAGTTTGGTAAAAAATTGCTACCTTAAATTTTTCTCATATAAATAGCCTAGCATAAATGCCGCAGATTTAGATGTTAACATAATTATTATTCATGGGTTTTTGTTAAGAATTCCCATCTGGTTATTTGTTCAGAAGAAAATTGTGCACGGTAAATTACGGTCTTTCTATTCTGTTCCCATGTTAGCAGAAAATGCGCGGCACCTCAAACTCTTAATTAGTAATTTATATTAAAATGGCATACATATAAAAGATAAATTAAAAAGAACGGAATGGAATAAAACACATTGGGTCAAGTCTAGTCTAATTAACACAATTACATATAATATATATATTTAGTATATTCTCCCGGTAATTTCTTTAGGCATGGGGAAAATGGAGACGAGTTAAATTTTTATAATTATATTGGAGCTGGGTCTTAGTTGAACACATCCCAGCAGAACATTTAAGCTCTTATACTAAACTGTCTTCTACATTTGATTGCAACAAGCTTTTCAATTGTAGTACTCCTTGCTGTAGCTTTCTTTTGCCCAACCCATTTGAGTCTTTTAAATCAAATTCACTTGCCAAAATGTCAAAGGCTGGGATGTTCAATCAAAGTTCGTTTGCTGTTTCGCCGACAGGCTCATTGCACCAATTTGTCAGTGAGTCAAAGCATTTTGTCACGATTTGCCATAAACACCTTGTGGAGCTGGTCGAAGAAAACGGTTTTCCCTCCACCGATTATTGTTAGTAAATCGAAGTGATTTGTGTGCTGTGGCACAAAAGAAGCCGCCGCTTTAACTTGTATTAAGTAAATAAATAGAAAGTGAAGTTGTGTGCCAAGAGTTTTCCAGCAGGTCAATCGATGGACCCAGACAGACCCACAAAAATACACGGATTCACTTTCCTGACAGAAAACCCAAAAAAAAAACTAAAAACTAAAATAAAAACGGGCTAATGATAATGTTTGAATTATTCCCGTGCACTTGAAGCAGCTCAGCTGTAATGAACGCTATTACGAATCGAGCGCTTCTATCTGAGATTCCCAACACCGGACTGCTCTGGTTTATAGACCCGCTCCCACAATGGCTGACTCGCAGTCACTGCTGCTGCTGCTGCTGCTGCTACGTCTGCTGTCAAATGCAATCAATTAAGGTTAATTTGCAGCCACTTCCCAAATTACGAGCACAAATGGGTCTTGAAGCCACAGTCTTCGGGTATTGGAGCATTGGAGCTGCCTGACATATATATGTGTCAGTGGTATTGGCCAAAAAACCATTTCTGCGGTTATGATTTGTGAAATTCTTTTGTTGCCAGGGTTGACCACAGTTCGGCACATGCCGACGCCAACACTCCGTGGCCGTGATTAATGGTGTGTTGAACATAAATTTGGCACAGGTTTTGGAGCAACCGCCAAGATGCCTGGAGCCTTGTGTCAGATCTTGGCCAGATCTGATCTTATATGCTGTGCATGCAATCGCGGCATTGATTTTGCACAAAAGCGTTGGCCAGTTAGCCAAGTTGGTACGCTTGTAGGCCTGTCAGCCGGCCTGACAAAATTGACAGCCAACATTGACAACGACGGCGACAGCGCAGAGCATGGACAATGGCAACAACAACGACAACATCGACAACCACAACAGCGACTTTGGCCAAACGGTAGTCGATGTTTGACAATCAAATATGGGAACGGCGTGCTGTACTACCTGCGCCATGACCCATATCAGTCATTGTTTTTGTAGCAGTGAGCCAAAAGTTCAACAGGTCGTGGACAGGCATTTAGCATGTGGCATTAGGCATATGGTAACATATGGCATATGGTTTTGCTGTATGGCTTATGAAAAGTGAAATTTTTGGCTGCTAGTCAATGGCCCGGAAAAATAGAATCGAGACAATGGTTAAGCTTATTGGCAAGACACAGCAGACTGACCTCATTGAGCCCACGCTTCGCACAACGTATGGAATTCGCTGGAATGGGTGAGTGAATGAGTGAGTGAGTGAGTGAATGAATGAATGATAGCCTGCCAGAGCCACTTGCCGAATTGCCAGTTGGACTTTTGATTATCTGGCCGAGTGCTCCGGCTGCGGCTGCGGCTGTGGCTACGGCTGTGCCTGCTGCAGGCCGGTTTCGCTGGCATATAATATGTGTTGACACGAAAGCGCAGCGACCAAAACTGGGAATTCTGCAAAATAAGAAAACAACAAAAAAACAACAACAGTGGGCAGTGAAATGCTGAAATCTTATGCTGATTGCCAGCCGTAACAGCTGCCTGTGTAATTTGTGCAGCAAAAACAAAAAAGTGAAGGCGTCTCCAAGAGCATCTTTCGTTGCCAGCAAGCGAAGCAGCACTTTCATTAAAACTTTTGGCCAATTCAAAATCATTAAATTGCAGCCAGAACGGCTCAAAGATGTATTATTTTTTTTGGCCATGCATCAACTTCCTGGCTGAGCAAAGCAAAGCAAAATTGTAAAGACACAAAACCAAAGACAAACCACTCAACTGCAATATCAAAAAACACTGAGTGGCTTATTTCTTTTGTGTGTTTGCCAACGACTTCTTTACTTTGCCGGATCCAAACAGGTTTGGCGCTTGAAAACTTCTTTGAGCCTGAAGCTCGGCTAGGACAGGGCCTGAGTCCAAAGCTTTCCATCAAGTGTTGCGCTGCTCTTTATTTTAATTTGCGCACCTAAGTAAATGCCCGGCAAGTGCTAATGAGACATAACGACATGGCCGTCGCCAAGGCCAAGGATCATTTATTATTTTTAGCAAATAGC